TTGCTCTCTCTCTCTCTCTCTTTTTCCCCCCAGTCGCCCTTTCAAAGACCCCGCGCACGGACTCCACAAACCGCCTGTATCGTGGAGACGCAGGACTCGGCTTCGGGGGGCTCGGGCTGGCCGGACGGGGCGATCATGAAAAGGACGAGACCCAATCCGAAATTTGGCGCGATCTCCCGCCGCAAACATCCCACGAGAACTGGACCGTCAGAATCCGGGACGCGCTCGTCAAAACGCGTCCGCGCATCCGAGTTCTGGCGCAATCGCGCCTTACGTTTCCCCGACTGCACGTCCAAGGACTTCGCCCTCCTTCAATACCTGCACGACTTGCACGTCACCAGCACACGCGCACGTGCTCTATGAACCGAGCGCCGTCTCTCCCCCCCCCAGGGCCTCCCTGCTCGCGCGCTGTCGAAGCGGCGCTCGCCTCGTGTGTCCCGATTGCACTCGAAAAGTGACTCAGAAGATCATCGTTTGAGAAGCCTGGGCCAGCTGCCCAGCGGCTTGTTAAAATCTAGCCTGGCGAGGGGCCCAACCGCATGCAGCTGCGAGTATCGCAGGAGATGCCCCGCTCGGGCCACGTCCAGAGCAGGCAGGCGCGCACGCAGGCGCTGCCACTCGGGCCTTCGTCCAGAGCTCCCCATGGCGCCACGAGGCGTGTGAGGGGTGTACCGACATCGCTCGAGGCCGCCATGCGAACCTGCCACTCGGGCCTTCGTCCAGAGCTCCCCATGGGGCCACGATCCTCGTGAGGCGTGTGCCGAACTCGCCCGAGGTCGCCATGCAACTCCTGCCACTGGGGCCTTCGGTGGAGCTCCCTATGAGGCTACGACCCTCGTGAGGGGTGTGCCAAAATCATCCGAGGCCGCCATGTGCTCCCTGCCTCTGCGGCCTTCGTCCAGAGCTCCTTCTGGGGCTACGATCCTCGTGAGGGGTGTGCCCAAATCGCCCGAGGCCGCCATGCGAACCCTGCCACTGGGGCATTCGGTGGAGCTCCCTGTGGGGCAGGGATCCTCGTGAGGGGTGTGCCGAGATGGTCCGAGGCCGCCATGCGAACCCTGCCGTTGGGGCCCTCGGTGGAGCTCCTTATGGGGCTACGATCCTCGTGAGGGGTGTGCCGAGATGGCCCGAGACCGCCATGCGAACCCTGCCACTGGGGCCTTCGGTGGAGCTCCCTGTGGGGCCACGATCCTCGTGAGGGGCGTGCCGAAGTGGTTGACATGCGGAGGGCAGGGACAAGGCTTCCAGGTGCGGAGAGCAGAGGCAGGGATAGGAGGAGGGAGGAGGGGGAGGGGGGGGGAGGAGAGGAGGAGGAACGCGGGGCGCTGTCTCTTCAAAACGAAGACCCAACACCACTGGATGGTTGGGAACAAATCTGGGCCAATCTCTTGTGTTAACGCTGGAGGGGCGCCCGTGCTCAAGAAACTCGGCCAGCTTTCTGGCAAGTCAGGAAACGCTGGCCCAACTTTTCGGAAGGAGGTCTCTTAGTCAGGTGCCCGACTATAGCCTGCCCCTGCGCCCCAGCGCTTTCTGAACGCGTCTCGGACCCACGTCGCGGCCGACCCCAAAAGTCCTCCAGCAGCAACACCCACATGAGATCGTTGTGCCAATTTCAAAAGCTGGGACATGGCCACGATTTCAATCGACTTCCAAGAAATCTTGGCTGCAATGGATGCGACCTGCAGTGAGGCCCTCGATGGAGCACCCCCAAGCAGACCGGATTCATTAAGCCTGCCACAGGGTCGTTACAGCTGCACCTGTCCCCCTCTGGGCTGGGCTGATCTGCGCGGGTAGAGCAGTTCACAGCATGGCGAATAGTGACTTTTCTGTGTGCAGGCCCTCCAAGTGCTGCCACCGTCGCATTAAGCTGGTGGTGCGGAGTGTGCATCCGCGGCCCCGCTGAGTTAGCCTTGCGGTGCTCTGATGCAAGGACGCGGGCACCGGCATTACGTGGAAAACAAATCGGAAGGCGCCGAATCTACCAGTAGAGGGAGATCTACTCCTTCTTCTCCCTGCCTGCTGACTCAATGTCCCTCCCATGTCCCCTTCCTCTTTCCTCTCGCCCATTCATGCGCAGCCGCTTCAGAGAGACGAGCTGTCCGACAATATGTCAGGACACCGTCCACCCGTTCAAGCGATCTCTCATGGCAAGTCCTTGCAACCGATGATTCTCTCCATCAGAACCCGGCCCTGCTTGCCCCAGCTGTGCATCCGAGGCGCGCACGTTCATCTCCTCATTGAGCCTCGTCTCCAGGGAGAACAGCCGCGCCTGGCAGAATTCAGCGCACCAACCTCTCGGCAACTTCATCATCTCCGATCTCCGCCTCCGCTTCCTCACTCTCCTCCTAAACAACCAGAACCCCGACGTCGTTTGTTTGTTTGTTTGTTTGTTTGTTTTTCCCTTGTTCTATAGTAAGATGAATACTACTACTAATCTTGGCATTATAAGTATTATTACTAGTATTATGATTATTCTTATCATTGTTTAGTACTATTCGTAGTTATTATCACTACTACTACTAATAAGAATGATGATGATGATGATGATGATGATGATGATGATGATGATGATGATGATGATGATGATGATGCTTATTATTGTTATTACTCTTCTTCTTCCTCCTTATTATCATTAATATAATATTTTTAGTAGTAGTAGTAGTAGTAGTAGTAGTAGTAGTAGTAGTAGTAGTAGTAGTAGTAGAAGTAGAAGTAGTAGTAGTAGTAGTAGTAGTAGTAGTAGTAGTAGTAGTAGTAGTAGTAGTAGTAGTAGTAGTAGTAGTAGTAGTAGTAGTAGTAGTAGTATTAGTATTATTAGAATTATAAGTATGATCCGAATGTTTGTTTTCCAAAAAGGCTTGCCATGTAGGAGTCACAGCTCAAATCTTACTAAGTGGTCCGTTCCCTCCAACATTCCTATGCCCCCTCCAATTCCTATGGTTATGGCTATGCCTATGCCTATCCCCCCTTTTTCCAATGGCACCCCACCCTTCTGTATGTTTGCTTGCTTGCTTGCTTGCTTGCTTGCTTGCGCGCTTGTCTTGCACGCTTGCTTGCTTGCTGAGTTGCAGATTCCAAGCATGTTCGATGCCTCTGATTCCTTGATTTGAATCGTCTAATCTATTTGGAGTCAACGCTGGCTGATATTTCCTTTTCTCATCACGTCGACCTCAAGAGAATTCGTCCCATTCCCTGGGACCAACTTCTCATCCCGAATCGTTTTTTGACAGGCCCGAAGCTTGGTGAGGGCACCCAGAGGCCGAAAATAGCGACAACCTCTCGCCCTGATCTTTTCATGACCCGAGGGGGTCTCACCCTCTTGCTGCTCCTGCTCGCTTCCACACCTGCTGGCTGGATCCAGCAAGCTCCTCCACCTTGTCATACCTCACCCTCCCTCACCTCCCAGGGCCCTTCTTCTGCCTTGTCCCCCTCTGCCTCCGCCGTGCCCTCCTCTCTGGAGGTCCCCAGAGGCCCCGTACAGCTCAATCCTCGATCCTTGATCTCCTCGATCCTTGATCTCGATCTCCTCGATCCTCGATCCTCCTCCTCGATCTCCTCGATCCTCGATCTCCTTGACCCCTCCTCGATCCTCGATCCTCGATCTCCTTCGTCCCCTCCCTCAGCTCCTGGTCCTGCGGCTTCTTTGATCCGAGGGCACCATGGGTTGCCTCGAGATGTGGTGTGTGGGCGAAAGGGCGGCCTGCGCGTCACTTCTGGGCGTGGCCCACCCGCTGGCCCCCTGCTGCAGAGTGTAGACTCCTGCCACAGACATGCGACGTCTTGATTTTTTCCAATGCGCAGTCCCTGGACGCCCCAACCCGTTCCCCTGGGCCGGTTTTTCATCCCGAGTCGTTTTTTGACGGTCCCAAGGCCTGGCGAGGGCCCCCAGAAGCCGAAAACACGGAAAAACCTCCCGTCCGGATTTCACGACGCGAGCACGTCCGGGCAGGTTCCTGTTGGCTGGTACAGTCCGCCTGGCCCCTCCCCACCCCCTCCCCTGAGATCCAACGTCTCGAGAAAGTTGAGACACCGTGTAAAATCACAACTGGAGCCACTGACCCCATCATTCTGCGCCATTTCTCGAGCTCGATCGATCTGTGAGGGTCCCATGCGGCCCGAATCTGGGCGAGAGCGCCAGGAACGCCCGAATCTCAGGCTCGGCCCTGCCTGCGGCAGGCCGCCTCCTCCTGTCGGGCCAGGCGAAAGGGGGGGATAGCAACAGGGGGGCTTGAGAATCAGCTCACGTAGCTGATTCTCCCGGCGCCTCCCAGCGCCGGGAGGTGCCCATGTATCGAGGAATAGGCCTGGTGGCGGGGCCGAAACCAGCTGCATGCAGCGAATTTCGCACCCCCCTTCTTTCCCAATCCCCCCCTTTCGTCCGGCCCGGTATAGACTTCGCTCACTGGCTGCGCGCTCTTGCACTTTTTCTTCCTCGAATAAGGAGGAGGAGGAGGAGGAGGAGGAGGAGGAGGAGGAGGAGGAGGAGGAGGAGGAGGAGGAGGAGGAAGGAGGAGGAGGAGGAGGAGGAGGAGGGGGGGGGAGGAGGAGGAGGAGGATGAGGAGGAGGAGGAGGAGGAGGAGGAGGAGGAGGAGGAGGAGGAAGAGAGAGGAGAAGGAGCAGATGTCCTGCTGTGCGCGCGCAGGCCAGCGGTCCAAGTGCGGTCCCCGCCCCGGGCACGCACGGGGCGGGGGTCGGGCACGGGGGCGGCGAGGAGGGCCCAAGGCCAAGCCTTGTGGCGAGGGAGGGGGCTTGACTGCCTACCAGTCCACCCCAACCCAACCCGAAGACCCGAATTTCGGGTTGGGGGGGGGTAAGGGTGAGGGCTTGCGCCCCTGCGTGGGGTTTCGAAAACGATGCGCTAAGAAGCGGATTTCGCTGCAACCCTTTTGCCTCAAGCCATGGCCCAGGTCCAACTATGCGAAAATTCGAAGAGAAAGTCAGGGCCAAAAAAGTCGACTTCACGCCAACCGTTTTCTTCAAGAGTGGTCCAGGTCCAGGGGTACGAGAATTCCACGGACAAGCAACTCCAAGCCACACGCCCCGAGCCCAGTCCCGATCCGAGCAGACGGGGTCAGAGTATCGCGCCGCATTGCCGACGCATCGCCGATGGATCGGCGATGCATCGGCGACGTCGGCGTGGGGGAAATCGGGCTCCACATCGAGCCGCCTCGCCGATGCGTCGGCGATGCTGCGCGGCCCTCCGACCCCAGCTGCTCGAACACCAGCTGGGAGGCCTGGAGCCACATATCCCTCTCACTCCTCCTCCTCCCCCCCCCTCCTCCTCCTCCTCCTCCTCCTCCTCCTCCTCCTCCTCCTCCTCCTCCTCCTCCTCCTCCTACGAACAACTGCTCGAACACCAGCCGGGAGGCATGACGATAAAGGGGCAGGGATTTGACAACTCCTCCTGGCCGACATTGCCCGCCCCGATCCGAGCTCCCCGAGCCCACGCCAGATCCCGAGAACGACAACTACTCCAGGTTTCGTAATCAAGGGAGGGGGGTCTCATTTCGGGGGAATCTCCTCCAGGCTCTCTTGGAGGGCCTGGGGGGTCGGGGGACGATGTTTCGGAGGGTTCTCCCACGGGGGAGGTCTGGAATGGCTTGTCTTGGAGGGTCCAGACCCCCTCCCTTTTATTACGAAACCTGGAGTATCGTGCTTGGAGGAACGGGTTCGGACGATACAGGGTACGAGTTTGAATCAAACACCTTCAACATCTTCGATCAGATGGATGATCTGCTGATTCCTCCCAACCCGATCCTCCCAACCCGATGCCCAGACATGCGACGTCCTGATTTTTCCAATACGCAGTCCGCAGACGCTCTGACCCTTTCCCAGGGGCCCGTTTTTCATCCCGAGCCGTTTCTTGACGGTCCCAGGGCCTGGCAGGGGCCCCCAGAGGCTGAACATAGCGAAAAACCTCCTGCCCTGATTTTTGACGCGAGCATGCCTGGGTAACCGTCTTTCTGCGTGGGCCCCGGGGATCCGGACCACTTCCCTATAGGGCCAGTTTTTTGCCCTGAGTCGTTTTAGGACGGTCCCGAAGCCCGGCAAGGGCCCCTGGAGGCCGAAAGTGGCCCCAAACCCGCCGCTCCGAATTTTTTGGAGCGTCGGATCTCTGGGTAATTGTTTTTTTTTCTGAGCTCCTGCGCACCCCAGTGCGGGCAGTACTTCTATCCATATCCACTGCAGTATGGAATTTGGGGCTCCCTTCCCCAGAATCCCGAGACGCACTGGATATGGACAAACGTTCCCCCTAGAGGCTCGACTTTTTATCCGTATCCAGTGCGCCTCGGCCTTGTGGCGCCCCTTCCGAACAAGTCCAAGACGCACTGGATATGGATATGAATCTTGCCCGCACCCGGCGTGCTGGAGCTTGGCGCCGGGCCGAGCAAAAACTCCCGAGGCCCCGCCCGCTCCTGGCAGAAGGGCCGCCCCTCTCTGAGCCCGGACAGCCGATGCCCGGAGCCTCTCCGTGCGGGGCCCCACGGAGGGCTGGACAAGATAAGGGGCGCCCAAGACACTGAGATCCTGGCGTTGCATTTTTTTCGCACCGAGCGTTTTCGCTCTCATGTCGGGCCCTGGAGCCCTCGCAGATCGATCGGGTTTGAAAAATGACGCAGAAAGATGGTGTCTGGGGCTTTGGCTTTGATTTGTCGGGATTTTTGTGTGTAGATATTATATTATATTGTATCATAATATATATATTTATATATATGCTCACACCCCCCCCAAGATCCCTACTTTCCGTGCTCTGTTCTGCTTTCCTCTCTTCGTCCTCCTCCTCTTTCTCATCCTCCTCCTTTCCCCCCCCATCCTCTCCCCTCATACTTTCTCCTCCTTTTGCTCTATTCATATCTCTCTGGTCTTCCTCCTCCTCCTCCTCGTTCTCATCCCTGTCCTATCTTTCTGTTTCTGTACTTCCTGGATTAATCCAGGGCTCGGCGATTTAATCCACCTCTCCTTCCTCCCTCCTCCCTTCCCTCCTCCTAAAGAGGAGAAGCACACTCGGTGCCCTTCCGCCAATCCGTTTCGGCGTCCAGTGACCGTTTTCGGGCCCCAGAACCATCAAAAACGACCCAGAGCGAAAAACCATCCCAAGGAAAAGGGTGTGGACCTCTGGGGCCGCGGATTTCCTCATGGCTCCAGGCGATTCCCCTTTTCCTACTCCTCCTCCGCCTTCAACTTCTCCCCTCCCCTCCTCCTACTCGCCCCACCCTGTCCGTAGCCATCATCGGCTCAAGTTGCCCCCGCGCGGGCTGATCCGAAGA